TTCTGGGGAAAGAGTGTGAGTGTGTGACATTTCCCACCCAGGTGTACATTAGACAAGTCAGTGTACACCTCCACCCTGCCCCAAGGAAGCTTCTAGATCCAATGAAAGAACCTGCCATACTTGCTGAAAACCCCATTCAATAAACCCAGTGACTCCATGTGCCTCCTTAATTAGCACCCTCCCTCCCCTACTTGATTTCTGGAAAATTCGGAAAGGTATTTTAATGTACAAAGGCTGCTCCACAAGGACCAGCCACAGGACTTGTACAAGAATGACAAGGTCACTGAGGTGCCAGCTACTACTGGTCCCATTTAACACACTGGGTGTCTCGCATGGTGACCGAGACCCAGCAAAAACAAGTGATGAGAACCCCTGCTCAAGCAAACAGGTAATCCCTGAGCCACCCTCTCCCCCCACCAAAGCGTGGTGTCTCTTTCAACACACCTCAAAAAAACAACAACAACAAAAAATTCATGAGTACTGGGAAATGATCACAGGAATTTCTTCTTTGGTATGGAAGAAAAATATTTTTGCCTCAAAAAAAAAAAACCCCACGCTGACAGGTCCGTCCTACGTTAGTAAGCTCAAGGCAGAGGCGTAAATGTTAGACGCAGAAACTCAGGAGTAGAGTAAAAACAGCCTCCACTGTTCTGAAAAGAGATCGACAATCGGACGAGCGTGTGAGAGTCCGAGTGAGTGTATGGTGGGGAAAGGGAGAGCCAGGGTTGGGGCCAGAAAGATAAAATTCAGACTCCGTCAGTATGCTGAATACTGCGCCTCGGTGATACCGGAGGGAGGCTGGGCCAACGCAGAATGAAAAGTGGCCTCCGAAATGCTTAGGAGCAGCTCACTCTCAAGACGTCTGATTACAGGATCACCTGTCGCCAGGTAAAGGCATGCTTGGCATCCCTGTGGTATTTTCTCTGTCATCAACATATCTGCAGGCCTGTCTGGAGCTTTTCATCCCAGCCACAGTCCAATAAGCCTCTTTGATCCAGGTACCCGATAGGTATCTTGTTCTCCACACAGGATCAGTGCTCACTGATGAGGAACTCTTTGTAAAGAATAACCCATCCCATCTGCACATATATGAAGAGTTGCAGTGTGTCAACAGTCCCCAAATAAATGACTCTCTGACATGTCTTTTCCCAGAGGAACTGGTATTTGCCAACTTGCCCCTGCTTCTCTCATATCCTTTAAACCTCTTGAGATACAAAGCAACTGCAATGCAAATAATGGCCTCCCCCTCAAACCCCCGCAAAGATTTACAGCCTTGGAAACCCTATACAGGGTCGCTAGGAGTCGGACCGACTCCACGGCACGTAACTACCACCACCACAAACCCTTGAAGCCACCGTAGGGTGTTATAAGCTGTGTCTTACCTGGAGCCAGGCTTAGACCAATGCTAGAATTCCCGTTCAGTCATGCATGGGCTTATTCCAAACAAACTATGTCAAACAAGTCTCTGCAATCAATGGATGGCCGCAGACAAGTTCTGTAATGCACTTGGTTTTAGTGTCTCTAGGCCAGTTAAAGTCAAGGCAGAGAGGTCAGCTCAGAAGGTTTTGGTAACTGTTTCCAAGGGTCTCCAAAAAATCTTAACAGATTTTTCTCAGTGGTTACATGGGAACTTATTAGGAAGAAGTTTTAAGAAAATGGAAGACTGCATTGAACAAAAGGCCGGGAAAGGTGCACTGATGATTTTTTCCCATCATGATAATCCTTCTGGGGTAGCCAGGGCTGTACTAGGAGAATTTCATTGGGAAACCTTACCCTATCCACCTTACAGGCCTGCTCTTACCCCTTCAGGTGTCTTCTTGGTCCCACAATTCAAAGAACATTGAAAAGGACCATGATTTTAGCATAGTGGTAATGAATCGGGCTGCAAACCACAACGTCAGCAGTTCGAAACTACCAGCTGTTCTGCAGAAAGATGAGTCTTTCTGCTTCCATAAAGATTTACAGCCTCGGAAACCCTGTACAGGGTCGCTATGAGTCGAAACCGACACCACGGCACATAACAACAACGGCTGCCAAAACTGCCATTTTGAGATTATGTAAATCAAAGAATAAAGAATTCTTTGGAGAAGAGTTAGAGAAATGGAAATATCACCTTCAGAAGTCAGAGGCTTGGATGGAGGACATGCTGAGAAACAGTAACTTCGTATTTTGATAGTTTTGTTTAATGAACGTTTCTATTATTTTGTGTTGTTGTGGTTAAGTTCCGTTGAGTCAGTTTCAACTCACAGCGACCCAGTATAGGGTTTCCCAGGCTGTCAATCATTGCAGGAACAGAAAGCTTCATCCTTCTCTGACAGAGCCGCTGGTGGACTTGAACCACCAACCTTGTGGTTCACAGTCCAGTGTTCATCCTTCAGAGCCACTGCACTCCCCTATTATTTTGTAAGCAAAACTTTTTGACTTATACTCATATACGAAGAAAAAGAAAAGATTCACTCTTTGGTATGTGCCCTAAGTACCCTAAAGAAAGCAAAGTCCCCCCCAAAAAAAACTCATAGAGATGGAGAAGAGACTCATGGTTAGGGGGAGGGGATCGATGGAGAATTATTGTTTAAGGGGTACTGAGTTTGTTTGGGATAACAAAATGTTCTGGAAATAAATAGTGGTTTTTTAAAAAAGAGTATTGTTAACAGTTTAGTCAGGAGGAAAAACAAAAAGAGAAAGACAATGAAATGATTAAGGGAAAAGGCCTATCTAAGCCAAATTACAGACTGGCTTCAACAAAGCAGCATTTTTCCCTATTAGAAAAAAAATAATAATAGAGATAGGGACCCACTCCCTTTTACAAGTCCCTATTCAGCACAGTGGGTTAATGCTCTGGACTGCAAAGTCGGTTTGAACCACAAGGTTGGTGACTCAAGCTGACCAGCTGCTCCTCGGAAATCCAATACAGGGTGATCATAGTTTGGAACCAACTAGACAGTACGTAACAATGACAATTCACAGAGAAGGGTGGCCCTGAAGACGCTGCCCAGAGATGACAGACAGGTAAGGGCTGAGAAGGGTCTGAAGGAAGGTTACAGTTCCATCTGGCTGACTAGCCTCTCCTATGATGGAGCCAGTAAAGGCAGTGGGATCGTTTTAAATAATAGCATGCTTGGTGGCACACTGACCCAACGGGCCCCTGGGGTTTTCCCTTGCTCTTATCACAATTGGTCAATGGCTAGCACCTGACACTCACTCCAAATTCTCTCCTCCCACTCCCAGAAAACATAGAGTCCTGGTGTGGCACTGTGGGTTAATGCGCCAGACTGCAAAGCCAATTGAACTGCAACGTCAGTGGTTCAAGCTCAGCAGCTGCTCCTCAGGAACCCTATACAGGGTCGCTATGGGTTGGAACTACTTGATGGCACTTCACAACAAGAACTCCCTGAAAACAGACTCCAGTGCAACATGGCTTCAATGAAATCTACAAGCATCCACTTGGTCTAGGCTTTGGAGTTGGCCACACTACGGCCAGCCAAACTGGTTCCTAATCCTTCCTAATGCCTTAACCAGAAAATGTCATCGCCATCTCAGGTTCCAGGGGAGAGGCCAGGCCCATATTTCTCCAAGTGCTCTGCATAATCCCCTGGGGACTTGTTTAAAATCCAGATTCCCCACCTACCTAGACCCACTGAACCAGAATCTCTGGCATTGGGATAAACAAGCTACCATTTTTATAAGCATCTAGTAAAGTCTACCAAGCTACACACTCAAACAGAACCACTGAGCTAGCCATTTTTATTTGCCGTTTCCAAAAAAATTCCTTTCTTGGAACCATATTCCAAATACTTGGGTAACTTTGCACTCAACATCTGCCTTCCACTCGTACTACACGGGGGTCGCCATCTGAGGAGGATAGCCAAAGCATCTCTTCCCTACTCACTTTGCAGTGGGGCTAAGGGGGGGTTGACTTAAGGCATCAGAGAAGGCTCCATCTATCCCCATCTCCCCCAAAAAGAAAACTAAACCCACCAGGAGCCACAATCCACGGTCATACCAGTGAATTACTGACGAAATATGAGGGGACTTCAAAAAGTTCATGAAAAAAAGTTCCATGATCTTTTCATTCCATTTGAAGCCCCCTTGTACATGCATAAAATTTTATATTCAGCATTAGATGGTTTGAGCTAAAATTCAATTTATATTGTTAGAAATACACCGTGGGCTGGTTTTAATTAAGCAGTAGTTCAGGTTCATCTCTGGAGGGTCGGTTTCTGACCTCGATTTTAAAAAACACAGGCATACCTCATGTCCTGCCTAGCACACATCAACGAGTGGCATTTCAGAGAGATGGGGTTTTTGACAAACCAAAGGTAGAATCCATCGGCACCCTTTTTCTAATATTTTTCTAACAGCATGTGTTCATATCGTGTCACATTTTGATAATTCTCATACTATTTCAAACTCTTTCATCCACGACAGTATAGCGTAAGCATAGTTTTGACTTGCACTGGGAAACCCCAAATTCTTGTACTTGCTTTACTGCAGTGTTCACTTTCTTGTGGTGGTCGGGAACCAAACCCACAATATTTCCACGGTAGACCTATAAATCAAAGAACTCTGTCTTCTATACTAATAACTAATGGGACCAACTCTATTGAAATATTCATGCCTGCCTCAAAAATAAATAAATAAAAAGGATTTGATATCAGGGGCAAAAGTGGTCCAAGCTCTAAAGAGTCCACTGGATTTGAGTTCCAACCAACACACACAGATGCCCTTTCATCAGTTCTACTGCTGAACACTGTTTCTTACACCCTCATCCCTTCTTACCCTGTGAGCTAGACTCAGGTGGTCACAGCAGTGTGCCCAGACTTGACTTCACAAGCTCTGGGCACTAACTGACCTGCCCACACCCAAGCAACATAATGGAGCCACTTGGGTCTCAAAGCTCACAGAAGTAGGTCAAATCCAGCAGCAGAGGCATGCTCGGAACTGGCTGGATCATGGGGGAGCAGTAAGTTCCTTTAAACTCTTTATCTACTTTCTGTTACCTGTCTCCGCAGAGGGATGCGCTTGGTCAGCTTGTGTACAGCCGGCTGGCTGCTGAAGTCAGGCTTCTTGGTTGTTGTCTTCATTCGGCATAGGATGACCGTCACCACCATACAGGCTATTAGGAAGACCCCTATGCAGTAGATGGCTATCTCCAGGTAGTCTGGGGAAGTGGTAATGTCCTTTTCTCTTACGGGAGCTGGATTGCAGATCACAGAGTGGGGGGAACAGATAAGCAGGCCACAGAGTTAGGACACTGGACTGATGCTTCGTACCATCACTACAGGAGTCACCAGGAAACCACCAATGCCCTAGACAACACGAACTTCTCAGTAACTCAGTGCAAGGTAGCATGGCATGGGCCATAGGCCTGCCACATGCCTCTTCCCAATGAAGGATATTAATCCAGTAAGCGGGCATCTGTACTCCAGTGAGCAGCTGCCACCCCGTTACGAAAGACAGGTTGCAATGCAAAGCCACCTTCTGTTAGACATTGGGATGAGGTAGGACAACTGCCCACACCCACAACCGAAGAACTGCTTCCCATGATCTCATTAGCACCCTAAATAGAAAATTCTTAACTATGACCGACATCCACTTTGATTAACGAAGTCATAGTGCCTTCGTCTGCTTTTGACAGGTTCTGACAAATGAAGTACTGACGAGATGACTTACTACAGAAGGACACAGCTCCATATGAAATGAATATTCGTCTAGGAAGCCGGTCCAAAACAAGTTCGGAATTCTTAGTCCAGTATATTATTCAATTAAACAGAAATGCATTCCATATAAAAATAGAAATGCTTCTACTGTCCATAATATAGGATGTTTATAATATTTCTCCATCACATGACTATTCTTTACATTTTTGTGCATCTGGTTAACTGATTATGTCACTAGACCTTTTCTTTCAAGGAAAAAAAATATATATACATGGCAATTGCTTATGTATATACATGTAGTTACTTAATGCAGCACATTCTGATATCAACTTCCAAGAATGCCTTCGCCTTCATTCTCAATGAGCAAGCTACAAACAGTGTATTCCCAAGCAGCATTTTTCTCAAACTGCATTCTTTGTTTACGTGCTAATGCCGCCAGGCAAACTGGTTAAAAAGCGCCAATCAGGCACTGGCAGAATGCAATACTGCAAGTAAAAAGCAAGCTCAACATTAAGAGGCATCTAGTTGTTTCAAAGCAAATATTCACAGTGCAGATTCACAACAAAAGGAAGAAGGAAAAAAAAAAAACAAAAAACGGATGCAATATTACTTAAAGCTTGTATAATTTAATCAGAAAAATCCTTGCAAGATAGTCAAAACTCATATGCACAGCACAAAACAAAACCATCAATGTCTTTTACCAGATATAAAATAAGCATGCACGGAAGCATTGTACTCTGAGAATGAGGAATTAATAACTGGAGAGGAATAGCGGAGCCAGCATACCAGAGTCTACGCAAGCAAACCCTGGTCTATGCAGTCTCAACAAAGCAAATGGCAAAGAGACTGTTTACGTCAGAGCAGACAGTGAGGATCCGGAAAGTTTGTCTTAGGATAGAGGTGCTGATGGCAGATTCAGAGGCAGCGGCGTATAGGCAACAGAGCGTCTCTGATGTTGATTTCTTGGTTACGTAGAAATAACATCAAAGCACAAAATGGTAGGTAGCAGTATGCTTTGCACTAAAAGCAAATTGAGAGTCCATTCTACGGCAACATGCAACAAGGCCCCAATTCCCAAGGGAGGTAACACACTGCTTCTGTACACCTGTCGGAGAGGTGCTTCACCAGGCACCTGGACACGCCACCATCGATTTACCTCTCATCAAAAATAGAAAGGGGGGGATGCAACGAGTACCAAAAGATAAGGGACATTAAGCAAAAATAGAATTTGGAGTGCAAAAAAATTACTTTGATGTGTACAAAGTAATTTCAATTTTTTCCTTGGGGACAGGGAGGTTCAAAGGTGAAATTTTACTTGAGCATCCACATTAGGATGGTATCACACTTGTCAGCGAATTTCTGGAAGTGGACATCCTTGGGGATCATTTTAAACATCCTTTATTTTGTTGTTGTTTAAATAATTACACAAGGATATAAAGGGCCATTTCTAAGAACAGAAGCTGTGTTAATTTGACAGCAATCAACCAAGAAAAGGGAAAACCCCAGGAGAGAAAGAGCAGTATGTACCTGGCAGAACTGTCAACCATGCAGAGTGAAAGGATATCCCAATAGAATTACCCGCCAAGCACGTATATTCCCCAGCATCCTCAAAAGTTACATTCCGAATATAGAGAACTTCAATCTCTTTGTCCGTGGTGTTAACACCAGCAGCCTAGAAAAGAAGGGAAGCGAGAGAAACAGGCTAGACAACACAGAAATGGTTGTGGAGGGGGCCGTGGAACCATGAGGCGTCGCACCGGGGCCTCGGCGGGTGCTGGACCACCAGGAGATTCCGACTGCAGCCCATCCACAAAGCCCACAACCAAGAGACACGGACCGACACTAACCAGCTCACCTCCACCGGCCCATCACCACACTGGCTTCACCACCTATACACATGCATGCGATCAAATGCATGGAAAAATCAACCCACAGAGATTCGTTTCTTTGCCTTCTCTTGATTTTTGGACTTAGGACTGGTTTTCCATACTTGTGGTACTCAAAAAGGCTGAAGTTGGGTTCTGGACCTGTTGGCTGCAGACTTCCACCTTGAAAAATGGGTTTGTTGTTGTTAAGTATCGTGGATTTGGTTCTGACTCATAGCGACCCTGTACAGGGTTTCCGAGGCTGTAAATCTTTACGGGAGAAGAAAGCCTCATCTTTCTCCCGTGGAGCAGCTGGTAGTTACAATCTGCCGACCTTGAGGTTCACAGCACGATTCGTAACCACTACGCTACCAGAGCTCCTGAAAAATGGGTGGCCCTGTCTAAATGATTGTGTTATGAAACAAAATTTAGGAAGCTCGAAGCCCACGTGGAGACCTTGCAGGACACCTCCTGGCCCTGTGGAAACCAATCAGGGTGAAAGGTGGTATTTGCCACCAGGTTCTGGTTGTTTCTGTTCCTGTGCAGCCATCTTGGCTCACAGAGAGCTGAAAGAAACCAGAAAAAACTATGACCTTGGTAGCAACAAAACTGGGCTTTTAAAATGAAAAAAACAAACAAACCCGTAACATTTGAATAAGGTCGTAACAATAAATCATGAACGTTGACCTTCTGTCTTCAATAATACCCAGCAGTGTGCTCATCTGTTAACATGAATGGCCCTCAAACTTGAGAGAGCAGAGTCAAGGACAGTATCTCATAAGCATCTGTTAAACAACCAAGGAATGATGCATTACTGGATAAATTGTCATGTCCAAGTAGATATCAACACTGCTGATTAGCCAATGCCACAAATCCAATCGGCAAAACAGGGCTATGTTCAAAATGGTGCTTGCTGGAAGGTAAGCATGGGAAATATGCAGCCCAAACAGGATGACCCAGAACCCGTTGCCATGGAGTCGATGCTGTGTGACAGTGATCTTGTGGGACACAGTCGAACTGTCCCATAGGGTTTTCCAAGGTTGTAAATCTTTATGGAAACAGACAGCTGCATCTTTTTTTGCATGGGGTGAATGGTGGGGTCACATGGCCACTTTTCATTTAGCAGTCAAGTGCTTATTAGCCACTGTGCCACCAGGCTTCCCGGATAAACCAGAACGAACGACTTATAAACCGGGTGGAGCATAAGAATCTTTATAAGGAATGAGAACAAGCACTTTGAACATCGTGGGCATTTTTCCATGGCTGCTGGCCTCGAACCAGCCGCGTCACCAAAGAAAAGATGATTCTAAATATACCAAGGCCACCAGAGTTAGCCTATAAGCTGCCTGCCGTCTCCCAAAGCACCAAGTCTTCTCAGAGTCTATATTCAGCTTTCTTAAAAATAAAAATAATGCAATGAAAATAAGCAGAAACAAAAACATTTTTACCTTGCTGTTTTGGCAGGAGAGTGAGCCAGGCAGACTGGTTGGCCTGCCCGATATAATTGGAGACCTTACATATATATTCCCCTGCATCCGCCTCAGTCACATTGAACAGAGCCAGCACTTCGGCATTGGAGCTATTTATCCCTGAGTGCTAGAATAAACATAGGAGGACAATATAAAGGCCTACCAGGAAGGACTTCCAACTGTCTATGGTCCCACCACCAACACACCACAAAAAAACAATCTCCATGACGTCTCAACAGCAGTAGCAAAAGGCTGTGGGGGGTTAAAAACAAAATAAGGCAACAGGCAAACAGCGGAAGGGACCCATGGAACGGGGCGGGATGGTAGCTCTCCTTTGCTGGTTATCTTTGTCTAGCTTTTAGCTGGAGATGTTTTAGCTGGAGAGAACACCTTGTTGGCTGAGTGTATTCTATGGTTGCATTGGAAGACTGTTCTTCTTAAAAGCCTTCTCTACAAGCAACAAAATGTGAGAAGGGCTAGAAATGAATACATCATCGTCTTGAAGAGCGAATCAGCTTGGGGAAAAAAGAAGAGAGAGGCTGATGCTATTAAAAAGGGGATTTCCAAGGAGCCAAACTAGAAATACAAGGCAAGAAAATGTCATTGGTTCAACATTTCACTAGCACACAATCATCTGCTAACTTGTACAGCTCTAAACTAAGTATGAAGGAATTTCCAAAGGTTAAGGAATTTCTTGTTTAAAAAGAAAATCTAAATGGTTTCTAAAGGTGGCTACTAAAAAACCAATGCGATGATCCTAATGTATTTTAACCAAACACAACTGAGTAACAACCAACGCTGGCACAATGCCTAAGCAGTTTACAAAGCTTTCTCGTACACGCCACTGCATTTATTCCCCGCAACTGCCCTGTGTAAGGAAGGCATCATCATTATCTCTGCTTTTACAGACATGCAGCTAGCTGAGCTATTCTGACTGCAAGTCTACTATGCCTTCCACTACCCCCATGATTCCCGGCTGGAATGTTTATTAGCAGGCACCATGACCTGCTAATTCTGGCACATACTCCACTGGCCAATCAAATAAAGACGCTCATCTCTACTGAAATTCAGCAGGAAATCAAGGAACATGTGGCCACACCCACCCCACCCCCAGTTGTGGATTCCTTGGAATTCTGGAAGTGCTCACCTTTAGAACCTTAAGGTAGGGCAGTCCATCTGGCCCGTATTTGCTACCATTCTTTTCAACATGCTTGATCCATTGGATATGTGGCTGGGCATCGCTGTATACTTTGCAAACAAACTCCACGTCGCCCCCGACCACAGTGGAAGCATTGGCCGGCAGACCAGCTTGGAGGATGGGCCGGTGTGGGGACCGTTCTGATGGAGAGAGGAGAGGAAGGGGGAGGCAGGATGGGTGAGAGGGGAGGAGGAAGAGACGAATAAATGAGTTTATGCTGTCCAGAAGGTTGTTAGTGAACTCAAGCCAAAAGGCCTCAAGTCTGCTGGCTGACTCCTTAGAAACAACACTGTGGGCCCAATGCATAATGACAACTTCAAAGGAGATTGTTGGAGCACTACTCTTGTAAAAAGAGACTTATTTAGAAAACTGAGAAATGAACTTATTATATCCCACGTTGGCGGTTGTCCATGGCCACCTAAAGAACAAGGGAAAGACCTTTATGTTGACAATCTAAAAGACAAATGGCGGTGCAGGTATGTTCTTCATTTAAAATAATGCCAAAAACTCATGTTGACCTTCTTAGCACCGGGGCAATGGGTACAACTAACTTCAAGGTCACCCTAGGCAATAAAAACGACTCCCCATGCATTCTTATGATGCTCTGAGAAAACCTACAGATATTTTTAAAGTACACAAACTACAAGCTAATGAGCAAAGCCATGCATGGATCAAACTCTTAACAAGCTGTATCTCTCTACTATGGAATGTGGTCCATTCAGTCATTCATTTTTGTATTCATTCGTTCATTTGTTTGCTATCTGTTTGTTACTGCATGCCAAGGAACCCTGATGGCACAACGGTTAAGCGTTTGGCTGCTAACCAAAATATAGACCGTTCAAACCCTCCAGCCAACTCCAGGGGAGAAAATCCCTGAAGGCCTGCTGCCAAGAAGATGTTGTTGTTGTTGTTAAGTGCCGTTGAGTCGGTTTCGACCCATAGCGACCCTGTACAGGGTTTCCGAGGGTGTAAATCTTTATGGGAGTAGAAAGTCTGATCTTTCTCCCGCGGAGCAGCTGATAGTTTCGAACCACTGACCTTAAGGTTCGCAGCCCGATTCGTAACCACTACTCTACCAGAGCTCCTTGCCAAGAAGATGAGAGCCTAGGAAACCCTCTGAGGAAGTTCTACTCTCTCACATAGGACCACTATGAGTCAGAATTAACTCCACAGTATGCAACAACAACAATCATACACCAAGGTCCCTGGGCAGCACAAATTATTTGCTCGTGGTCCTATGTGGCTCTGTAGGATAAGCACTCGACTGCAAAATGGCAGCTCAAACTCACCAGCCACTCCTCGGAAACCCTACACAAGGGTTGCTGTGGATTGAAACCGGCTCAATGGCACTTAACAACTAACTTAAAGATTGGCAGTTCAAACCCACCAAGAGGCAGTATGGAAACAAGACCCAGTAAGTTGCTTTTGTAAAGATTGCAGTCCTACTCTGTAACACCTGGGGTTACTTACTCTGAGTCAAAAGCACTCAGTTACAATGGGTTTACTGAACACCAGGTAGTAGATTCCTCAGTACAGATGTGCACTGAAAGAAATGCATAGAAGCATCAGTTCCTAAATTCTGATGATAGCACAGTCTGTCTTAAAGAAGGCACTGCGGGCCACTTCTCAGCAGACCTCACTTGCCTCTCCTTTTAGGGGTAAAAATTCTTCACAAAGGGCATCGCCTCTTGTCTTACCCCTGAAAATTTAGAATGCACCAGCAACTATACACAAGGCTCTTCCCAGAATGGAGTGAAAGACCAGCCTGTGCTATAAACTTACACACGAGACACATTCACAATTACAAACATACTAGAATCTTCCTACTTGACCAGTCCATCAAGAACCATGCAAATAAACTCCATCCCTCCCTACCAGCCAATCTCCCTGTCTCCCTGCCCACGCTGCCTCTCTCCAGCTTACAAGATGGCCCAGGGCAGTGGGAAGCTCCCAGCAGGCCCCACTAAATAGACAATCATGCTACATCTGAGTGTCACCATGCAATGGGCTGCAAACAGTAAATCAGAATCATAGCTATCTAAGCCTTTTTAGAGCACGGTCTTTCAGATTAAAATATCACTTAGTGCAATTTGTTGGATAAGAGCCAAACTATGTGTAAGTTGATTTTACTGCGTAAGCCTCTAGTTGCTCTGTAAGAATTTTTATTAAAAAGAAAGTAAGCAAAAGTGCAAGTGGTTCCCCCTTAACACATTTCATTCCAGAATATTCCATCACTTCAAAAAGACCTACATTTTCACACAATAAAGATAAGACTTTCAGAACCCCCAAAGAAGCAATTCATTTGCCCCGATAACACCCACGCAGGCTGGACAAAGAATCCAGTCTATGACATAGGTAAAGAGCCTCAAAGCGGGGATTCCGTTCACACTTCACCCCACAGACAGATCCTAGAGAGCTTCCCTGTTGGGCTTGATACCCAGCAAGATGCCACTGGTACCTGCTTGTAGCTGACAGTCACCAAGATCCTATTTGTCTGCGCTAGCCCCATCCACATGGGAAGGACAGAGGTAAGAGCACATGTGAGCGCTCACACAAACACTTCCTCCCCTCTCCCTCTCCCTCTCCAGTCCTCCTTCCAAGAGATTGGGCAGAGTCAAGGCAAGCAGTCCTCTGAAATGACCGTTGCCAGCCATGCTCACAAAATATGATGAGCCTTGGAGTCCAGGGTGTGGTGCTGTAAGAAAAACAGTGGGCTGCTAACTGAAAGGTCAGTGGTTCAAACCAGCTGCTTCTCAGAAGCCCTTATACAGGGTTGCTATGAGTCAGAACCAACTCAACAACCCTTAACAACAATGACAAAGGAGCTCTGGTGGTTAAGCACTAGACAGCCAACCAAAAGGTTGACTGTCTGACCCCCCAGCCACTCGGAGGGAGAAAGATGTGGCAGTATGCTTCCATCAAGTCACCTTAGAAATCCTATGTTGTTGTTGTTGTTGTTGTTGTTAAGTGCCTTCGAGTCGGAGCCGACCCATAGCGACCCTGTACAGGGTTTCCGAGGGTGTAAATCCTTACGGGAGTAGAAAGCCTCATCTTTCTCCCGCAGAGAGGCTGGTAGTTTCGAACCACTGACCTTAAGGTTCGCAGCCCGATTCGTAACCACTACGCTACCAGAGCTCCTTAGGACCATTCTATTCTGTGTATATAATCATAGTAAATCAGAAGCAACTTGATAGCAACAGGTTTAGGTTTCTGCACCTCAAATACTAAGAAGTTTTACTCCTTCCCATAGAGAAGTGAAACTTCAGGCATCCATCCATTCTCTGGCTCAGTTTTCTAGTTTTGAGCGAGTGTGCTTATGTGTTTGTATGTAAGTATTTTAAGATTAACTATTTACAGTGAACTAAAATATTTATTCTTAGAAACAAAGGCACTATAAAATCTGAAATGTCCTAAGCCAGATCAACTGAATTTCAAACCAAGTCCTTGTTCTTCAGCAGGCTTGTTGCTAATAAATCGTTTCATAAGCAAACACTGTACGTGTAATACCAAATAATGATGCCCCACGAACAATGAGCGCGTTCATACTCCCACAACTCTGGCTCGCGCCAGCCTTCGACAGAGAACTTAGTCACTGAGGCAACATTGGCAGGGCTGTACTACAGAGCTGCCGTCTTGTTTTACTTGTGGGCAACGTGCTGGGGAATTTGAGTTATTAAGTTATTCCATTGCGATCCAGACTATTTTCACGAATAAAAACACACACACACACACCACTTCCCCAATGATTTCATGTGATTACATTTGCAAATTACAGCATGCCAAATGTTCCCCCGCGAGGTTTTGAATTCATCTTTTCAAACTTTCTCACCTTATACAAAATAACCTCTTCACCACTACCCCAGGGTCCCCCCTCATCTCTCTCACTTTGGGCACAAAATATGCAAGCAGGATCACCCTCTAAGAGAAACCTTACACCGTCTTCCAAAACTTATTACAGCTGCCTTCAGTATCAAATGAAACCTTAGAGAATGTTATTTAAAATGTTTTTTAAAAGTCAGTAGGCCTCATGTTTCGTTTCTCCACATCAGGCTTTGATTTCCTTTGCAACCTTATTCCCTGCCCTTCAACAAGCCGGAGAAGGAGGCCTGAAACCTCTTGGAAGGAGTCCCAGGATGCCAGTACTACAGAGTCCTGCTCCCCTTCACCAGGCCTTCATGAGCAGTCTTCCCTTGGTGTCCCCATCGGACTCAGAACAGTGACCCACATAAAACCATGACGACATTGCGACTCCTGTTCTCACTTCTGAAAAAGATGGCAGCTGAGCAGACAGGCTGGGCGGTGTCAATAGCGCCCCCTGTGACCAGATCCAGCAGGCACTGTGTTAAGGAGACCCTCCCCCAGCTTTGGGCAAATGAAACCACGCTCGGGTTTGCACTTTCTTGGCCACAAGCTGATAGATAAAAAGAATCCATCTATGAGTTATCTCTGGATGAAAGAATCTGCCAAACATCGGTTCTTCTCTTATTCTTTGACGTGATAACAAAACTTCCCTCATCTCCACCAGGCAGAATTTACGGACTCAGGCACAGCTTTCTTACAGCATGTTTAACACTCAGATATTATAGAAAACAGATTTTTCTACGGACATGGGGCGTGAAATAAATATATGGAAAACAGCAAAGGTAGCAGGCAGCTAACCTTGGATTTTTGATTGTGGTTTTGTAAAAACATTTCTCTCATGAGTTCAGCAGGTTACAGCAGATGTACAGCCCAGGAACATGAAACAGGATGGGTACGCTTTAAAATAGCAATTCTAAGGTCCCTGTGGGGAGATAGTCGCCTGAGAGGGTGCGGTTCTTGGCGCCACCAAATTCGCAAGTAGTAAAGAGAGACTGAAGTACTTAAAAAATACATCCTCTCCCCCTCACTCTCGCCCCCTTTTCTGAAGTATTCCAAATGAGTTCACTTTACAAAAACAAAAGGGTCCGCCACTAGGAATCCAAATGCCAAGGCTGGTACTCTCTCTCAAGCTTTGCTCCATAGCTGGTGCCCCAACCTAACTCAAGACTACAGGAAGCAAACAAGGCCTGCTTCGTTCCAAGAAGCAATTACCAAGCGAGAGAAAATACCTGAGTGACAAAGAATAAATCTTTGTTAATTGACCACTGCGGCTTTACAA